TTCCGACTCCGCAACCTTCTACAATAAACCCGCCACTTGCAGTTTCGGTCACGACATGCAACCGTCACAGCCATGAATTTGACTTTTTGTTGATGAACTCAAATTACCTTTCACAGCAACAAGTTTTAGCTTCCTCACCACTTCCTCTTTGTTGTCAAATATACCCTATGCGCAAGTCCGATCCATCCGTAAAGACATGAGCTGATCCACTACTACCTCCAATGCCCCCTTTGAACCTGCATAAAACACATAGTGTTCTCTTCCTCACAATCTACGCCTTCTGCATAATCTGTATTTAAAGGAACTCTACATCTGTGGGAACATCTACGGGTCCTCCTCCTCAACATTTCATTCGCCCCCCATCACCAACCTCTTCTATAGTGTCCTCCCACCACCCATTGACCGTCTACTCTTGATTTTTTAGCTAACAAATCAATGGCCTCGTAGTTCAAATTACAACCAGCAAATCTCCGCCTACATCCTCTTTATCCCCTTCCTTGGAACCAACTTCCAATGGTTTTTCTACATAAGAAACCCTTAAATCGGCCTCGAACCACTATCGGCTATATCAATCATAAATAAGTTCACACTTTCATCCGACTTTATACAGCAGGAGGTACCTTATAATTTTCAGGAGCTTGCTTAAAACATACTTCACAACTATATCACTACGCGAGCAACTCAAATTACCTCTTCTAATTATTTCATCAATCAACTCATCAAAACTAACCTCTGTCTCACAGAATTGGTGTACTTCTTTGCTCTTCCCAATCCACTTCCACCTACTTTCTTCCTCCACCCACTCACCAAAATATTCAACACCCAAAACAATTTTTCCATGTATAATAATAGCCAACTACCTGTAATGCAAGAAAAACAATATTCTTAAATGCTGTACTAAGGGTTCAAATAGTTTAAAAAGAATCTCACATTCGCATATTTGGTCTGATGTATCGCTTGAACGATCATGGTATTTATACTGGATCGCTTAAGCGATACACCTGATCACTTAAGCGATTAAGTATAAATAACCTTGATCGCTTAAGCGATCTTATGCCATTTACTGATCGTAAGCGATCTGCTCCCATACAACAGACTTTAACCAGATCGCTTAAGCGATCTTATGCCACATACCTGATCGCTAAGCGATCTATCTGCTGCATTACCAGACCTACCGGATCGCTTAAGCGATCCATCGTGCCCAGAACACATTTTCAGTCATCTCCACCTACATCGATCCATCATCCCAGAATAAATACCCAGAACTAATTTTCAACAAATTCACTCCTTTCAACCTATATTACATCAAACACAACCCAACACCTAAACAACTAAATCAAAATCATAACCCAAACCCCATCCATTATTAAATCTTTGTAAATCTAAATATAAATGTAAAAGGAGATACACATACTTAGGCGAAATGTCAGGAGGAGGAGGAGGGGATCTTTGCTGAGAAGATGTTAATGGTGGAGGAAAAGAGAGTGTTAATGGCGGTAGAGATGCGAAGAAGAAGATGTAGAGGAATAGGAAGAAGAAGATTACAGGAAGAGAAGAAGAAGAAGATGCAGAGGAAGAAGAAGATGTTGACGACGCCAAGAAGAAGAGAAGAAGATGCAAGTAGAGATGCGTTAATGGCGGGAGGAAGAAGAAGGTTTTTGGGTTTATTTGCAACAATTTCGGATTTGTGGAAATATAGATAATTTTGAAAAGTTACATTAATCCTAATTAAGCACTAATTACCCTTAATCAATAATATAGCTATTTAGTTAACATTTCAAAACTTGATAGCCTTTTAATTAAATGTAAACTTCAAATGTCTTTTTAATAACTCCCCCGTTGTGGTGGTCTTATTGAAATCATCCAAAACCCCCCCACCGTTACCATACTGTCTGTTTTTTTAAAACATTTATTGGTATTGCAATTACTTTTTTACCCCTATCTTCTTCCCTATTCCTATCGTTGAAAATTTTCTCAAGCCAATTCCATCAGCAAAGATTCCTCTGAAATCATGGCATTGATTTGATACTCACAAGCACCACCATCTCAACCAATTCAAGCTCTTTCGTCACCATTGTAAGAAAAGGAAGATGACACTTCACTAAATTAAGAGGAAATTGAACTCATGGTTATGACTTCGAACTGTTGAGATAAAATAAAACTGAATGGAGTGTAAGAGGAATAATAAGACTGATTTAAGGTGGTTGTGTGACCATTGTTAACACCATCGGCTTGCTGCACTATGACGACGCTACAGCGCGAGTGCCATGGCCACAATTAGAGAGATGATTTTCATATTTAAATTGATGAGGAGATGAAGGGAACACAAAGAGGGAGATGGATGAGAGAGAGATGAGAAGAAAGAGTAAAAGGGACGGAAAGATTTTTAAAAAAGTGAATTTTAGTTTATAAAAAGACCAAATTACCATTTAAAAGTTAAATTTTAACAGAATTCATATTAACAACAGGGGTTTTTTGTAAATAATTTTCAATAAGTTGGGGTGTGCCAAATCGGACGGGGATATTTTATTATTTTTGATAGGATTTTTGAAAAATCCTAGTAGAGTAGTTATTACAAGATATGATTTAAAAAAGAACAAAAATACATTTTAAGTTTGTTAATTTAGTTAAACACCTTTTAAATAAAACATTGAAAATTAATAAAAACATCTCCACCCACCTATTAAATGCAGAAAGCGGGCCACCACCATCAAAGGGTAGCCGACAGTCACCGTAATGGTACACGATTGACTGGATTTGGCTGGTCATGAGTCGATATGGCCTTTTTTGATCAGATACATTGTGGATCTGGCTTAAAAAGGTCAGATCTAGTCACATTTGGTCGTCAATGACAACTATATCTTGGTTGTCGTTGACGACCGGCTACAACCAAAGATCTGGCCATTAACGACTAGATCTTTGGCCATTGATCTAACCTTTCCAGCCAGATCCGCGGTAGATTTCGCCGAAAAATGCTAGATCGATGCACTATTTGCCAGATCCAGCTGGTAGTGCACCATTACCCCAAATTCTGGCTACCTTTCGATGATGGTGGTCAGAATCTGGCAAATGTGAGTGGGTAGGTGGATGTGTTTTTGTTAATTTCTAAACTTTTTTTGGGTGTTTAATTAAATTAACAAACCTAAGAGGTTTAAAAATAGTTAAACAAAATATAACATGATTTTCAGAATAGAGAAACAAATGTGTATTTTGGGTAGAATATGGTAAAAATAGTTAAACAAACACAACCTAAAATAAAGGGGTTTAGTCTACGCATATAATCAACTCAATAATCATATTTTACTAAAATATGTAGGATTTATTTAAAACATGAATCCAATTATAAAATTTAATATAGATCGAATTTAGTATTTAGCAATATGGTTCGATAATCTAATTAAATCATGTTAGATGGTACTAGACTTGACAGTCTAAGGCATTTAAGTTATTTTTGTTTTTGTAATTTTTCATTAAGAGCTAACAAGTTAAGTTATGTGATTTTATACATAATTTGGTTAAACAAAACTTTGACATTTTGAGAATCAAGACTAGTAAAGTTATTTAGATGGAAATATTTCCAAAATCAACTCCAAAAGGATGTAATATAGTAAAGATTTATAATATAAATTGTAGGTTAATCAAACCGTCGATATGTCCGAGTGGTTAAGGAGACAGACTCGAAATCTGTTGGGCTTTGCCTGCGCAGGTTCGAATCCTGCTGTCGACGTTTTCTATTTTTTATTTTTTTTATTTATTAATTTTTTATCAATTCCTTTCGTTACATTACTCTTAAGTGCAATTTTTTATTTTATTTTTGTCTAATTTTATAATTATACAATGAGATATTTTTGTTCTAAAATTTCATAATTTGTGAGAAAAAATGAAGACATATTATTTATATCTTGTTTTATTTCTTTATTTATCTGTATTACATATTTGCTATTATATATGTAAAATTCGATAGTAAAATGATTTATATAGAAAATTTGCGAGCGGGACATGACCTTCTACATTTATAATAATACTATAACATCTCAAATTGATCAATATGTTAAGAGAAATTAAAGCCAAATATAAATTATATCTTTGTAAATAAGAAAATTGAAAATTTTCAGCTTAATGCTTGGATTTTATAGGTAGACAATATTCAATTTAAGTTTATTAACTTCATATTATTAAGTATGTATCATTGAACAATCTTGATTATTCTCATAAATCAATTAAAATTAAAAAATAGTGGATTTAAACCTTTTAATGTCGGGTGCAATGAGACTGCATAAACCTTCATTGACATCAGTAAGAAAACCTGCAAAAACCTTTAGACGCTATAGCAAAATGCGAGAAGCCATTTGAATGAGATTTTGGCCATGGGAATGGTGTTGAACCCCATGTTTAAACGCTCCAAAGCATTTTTTTTTTTTTTTTTAATCGGGGTGTTTTAATCAGTTTGTGTATATCTCAATTAATTTTTGAGGGTCATAAAGTTAACAGTCGGATAAACCTCCCGTGACTATCCCTATTAACAACCAAAATAAATCGAATTCAAGATCTCTTGAAAAATACCCTAAGAGTCCCTATTCAACGACTTCAACCACCTAAGTCATGCAACCTGAAGCATGAACAATACTGATTTAATTTTCAAATTTCATTAAATTTGTATACACAAACAAAACCAAGATAACAAGTGAGAGTTATAATTTCTATGAATAATACTACATATACATAATTTTCATACAACATTATGTGGCAAGATGTAATTGGGTGAAAGTTTAATTTTAATTTTAAATTAACTAATTATATCTTATCACATAATTTTGTATAAAAAATATTGTATAAAAATGATGTATGTGTAATATTACTCAATTTCTATTGTTAACCCGGAGTTAACGTATGCTAACCTCGTGCAGAACAACATAATCCCACCACCGGCACATGGTTCTCAAAGTAGCCAACCAAACACATCATTACCCCATCATCTAATTCTTGCTCCCCTCCTTTACGCCCCACGCCAATACGCAACCGTCTCAGACACACCGTCTCTCTCTCTCTCTCTCTCTCTCTCTCTATCTTTACAAAAGAGATGAAATGAAACAACACACAATCTCAGCTCCGCATCTCACCTCAAAACCCTAGTCAAAACGCAACGTATAATTCATCAAAACTCTTCCTATTTTGTTTTTTACTTTCTCAGTTTCACTTGGTATATCTCCGTCTCTTTCTTTGTAATATTCTTTGCTTCCGTTTCTGTTCTTCGTTTCTTAAATACGTAAAATAAAACGATTGGTTTACGATTACGTTTATGGTTTGCCTGTTTGGATGCTGAGATAACTGGTTGAAACTTGAAAGAATTTGTTAATAATTTTGTTTTGAAGTATATATACATATATCGTAATTGGTTAACGAGATTTGGATGAAACTGGAATGATTTAAGTAACATTAGTGTTTATTGGTGAGATATTGACCAAATGAAGATTTCTGTGAACAGTTCAGAGCTCTATATGCTTCCTTGCAAGAGAGCACGTGGAGGAGAGGCTGTAGTTGGAGAAGAAGGACAGATATACTCACCAGAGACTCTGTTAAAGAAACAGAAAAGCCTTGATTTACCTCCAATCGCTTCGGCGACTACGACTACCGCCGCTACAACCGCTTCCGGGAACGCTAAGAGCTCCGACAAATCCACTACCTCCGGTGACAGTAACAATCGCTGTAACAGCGGCTCCGATTCATTGATCATGGCTCTAGGTAACGGAAATTCTTCTGATATTGATGAAGATCTCCACAGTCGCCAGCTGGCTGTGTATGGTCGTGAGACGATGAGGCGGTTATTTGCGTCGAATATTCTAGTCTCTGGAATGCAAGGTCTTGGCGCTGAGATTGGTATGGAACAATTAGTGAAACGGTGTAGTCTCAGGAGTATGAAATATTGATGATTAATTTGAGTCGGCGATTTATTATATTTATGTATTGTTTGTTGCAGCTAAGAATCTTATACTTGCTGGAGTGAAGTCTGTGACCTTGCATGATGAAGGAGTCGTGGAGTTGTGGGATCTGTCAAGCAATTTCATTTTCTCTGAAGATGATCTTGGGAAGAATCGAGCTCTTGCCTCTGTCCAGAAGTTGCAAGAACTAAATAACGCTGTAGCTATTAATACTTTAACAAATGAATTGACTAAGGAACAACTCTCTGATTTCCAGGTAATGCTTTTGTTTGTAGACCATAAGCGTTGAATGTCGTGAAGTCTTTTATGTATACTTCTTTCATTTATGTGTTAAGTTTGTATTGTGAATTATTATAATGTTCAATTGTTTAAGAGTGCCAGTATCAAATCAATATAAAAAGTTCTAAACAGGACAACAGCACTGGTGACGCAAGGTGCTTGTGAATTTGTATGCTAAATGATTTATGTGTTGCATTTTAGTGCTGCGTACAATATTGCTGCTAAGTTTTGAGATTGTGATATGAGTATATTTTTTTTCATCTTTAACTAGTAGTTGAAAATGTTAATTTCATGCCCAATTAAGATTCCGTATTTATTCTTCAATGATTATATACTCTTGAATAGTGTTCAATAAACTTGGATTCTTTCTTTGGCATGGCTAATTGTAGTGAGCAATGCTTATATCTTTCTATGTTTTTTTGTTTTATATTTCTGCTTTGTTTTATGTTTGATTGTTATGATTCTTTTTTATTGTAGTAAGCAATGCTCATAACTTTGTATGTTTTTATTTTATCTGTTCTTCAGGCTGTAGTCTTTACTGATATCAGCTTAGACAAAGCAATTGAATTTGATGATTACTGCCACAATCATCAGCCTCCAATTGCTTTTATAAAATCTGAAGTACGGGGACTTTTTGGTAATGTGTTCTGTGACTTTGGCCCTGAGTTTACTGTGTTTGATGTTGATGGCAATGAACCATATACTGGCATCATTGCATCCATCAGCAATGACAACCCAGCACTTGTAGCATCTGTAGATGATGAGAGGCTTGAGTTTCAGGATGGTGATTTGGTAGTCTTTTCTGAAGTCCAGGGAATGATTGAACTGAATGATGGAAAGCCAAGGAAGGTTAAGAATGCTAGACCCTACTCATTTGCTATTGATGAAGACACCACCAATTATTCTGCATATGAGAAAGGTGGTATTGTCACTCAGGTGAAGCAACCTAAGGTGTTAAATTTTAAGCCGTTGCGGGAAGCGTTGAAGGATCCTGGTGATTTCCTTTTGAGTGACTTCTCCAAGTTTGATCGTCCACCTCTCCTACACTTGTTATTCCAGGCACTGGATAAGCTTATCCTAGAGTTAGGACGCTTCCCTGTTGCTGGGTCGGAGGAGGATGCTCAGAAATTCATATCCTTGGTCACTAGCATGAATGATAGCTTAGGAGATTCAAGGATTGAAGAGATTGACCACAAAGTACTTCGTCAATTTGCATTTGGTTCTAGGGCTGTGCTGAATCCCATGGCTGCCATGTTTGGTGGTATTGTTGGACAGGAAGTTGTGAAGGCCTGCTCTGGAAAGTTCCATCCTCTATTTCAGGTTAGTTATCTTTGGGACTTTGTAATAGATGATGTGGAAGTTTCATATTTTAAGGATGAAGTTTCTTTTTATGATTTGGTTGGAAACTGTTTCTTTTATTCCTACGTGTGAAATTGCAATTGCTTATTGTTAAGAGTTCTACTGACAGATGAATTTATATGTTATTGTGTACAGTTTTTCTACTTCGATTCAGTTGAGTCACTCCCCACAGAACCCTTGGACCCCAGTGACTTTCAGCCCTTAAATACTCGCTATGATGCACAGATTTCGGTGTTTGGATCGAAGCTCCAGAAAAAATTGGAGGAAGCTAAAGTTTTTATTGTAGGGTCTGGTGCACTGGGGTGTGAGTTTCTGAAGAATTTAGCTTTGATGGGCGTTTCTTGTAGTAATCAAGGGAAGTTGACTATTACTGATGATGATGTCATTGAGAAGAGCAATCTGAGCAGGCAGTTTCTCTTCCGTGATTGGAACATTGGGCAGGCTAAATCAACAGTAGCTGCTTCTGCAGCTGCTTTGATAAACCCACATCTCAACATTGAAGCCTTGCAAAACCGTGCTAACCCAGAGAGTGAGAATGTTTTTAATGACACATTCTGGGAGAATCTGAATGTTGTTGTCAATGCTCTGGATAATGTCAACGCTAGGCTCTACATTGACCAGAGATGCTTATATTTTCAGAAGCCGCTTTTGGAGTCGGGAACTCTAGGTGCCAAGTGCAATACTCAGATGGTCATTCCTCACCTGACTGAAAATTATGGTGCCTCTCGAGATCCACCCGAAAAACAAGCACCTATGTGCACTGTTCATTCGTTCCCACACAATATTGATCACTGCTTGACTTGGGCTCGATCTGAATTTGAGGGTTTGCTTGAGAAGACACCGGCTGAAGTGAATGCTTATCTGAGCAGTCCAAGTGAATATACACTTGCCATGAAGAATGCCGGTGATGCTCAGGCCAGGGAAAACTTGGACCGGATTCTTGAATGCCTTGACAAGGAGAGATGCGAATCATTCCAAGACTGCATAACATGGGCCCGTCTGAAGTACTGTGCCTGATTATTTGTTACATTTGTTTTATGTTGCATTGTAGTCACTTTTTCTTTATTCAATCTTTTAATGTTATGCTTTTAATTGAACCAGGTTTGAAGACTACTTTGCTGACCGAGTGAAGCAGTTGACATTTACTTTTCCTGAGGATGCTGCGACTAGTAATGGGACACCCTTCTGGTCTGCTCCCAAGCGTTTCCCACGCCCTCTGCAGTTCTCAGTTGATGATCTCAGTCACCTCCATTTTGTGATGGCAGCCTCGATTTTACGTGCTGAAACATTTGGCATCCCTATCCCTGACTGGGTCAAGTCTTCTGGAAAGTTAGCTGATGCTATTAACAAAGTGATAGTTCCTGATTTCCAGCCCAAGGAAAATGTAAAGATTGAGACAGATGAGAAAGCCACAAACTTATCTGCAGCGTCAATTGATGATGCTGTAGTAATTAATGATTTGGTCAAGAAATTAGAAAATTGCCAGAAGCAGCTACCACCAGGTTTCAAGATGAACCCCATTCAATTTGAAAAGGTTTGTGTTCATTTGTTTTTCCCTGTAATTGATGTCATCATTTTAGCATTTTTCTTTCCCAGTACCAGTTAGATTTAGAGATGTTTGGCTGCAGTTTTTTATCTCGTCGATCTGATTGGATCTTTGGATCCAGTATTGTGTCTAGCGTGTGAGAGAACCCCTTCTGCTTTACTACCATGAAGATGCTTTTCTCTGGTCACATAAAAGAAGAATTGGGTGCAAAGCCTGCCCCTTGATTATTTGATAAGTTTAGTTTAGTCCCTTTATTATTGATGAGTTTAGTTTAGTAATTGGGATACCTTATCTGTTAGTTATCTGTTGTCGATGATTTGTAACTTATCAGTTTTGCTGAAGTTTTATAATTATGGTTGGCCGTGTCTTTGGTTGGTTTGAAAGGAAATATCTAGGAAATCTGGTCTTATTGATAATTAATGAATTTTCCATCTTTTAGTACTGAGCTCAACTTATTATAGATTTTCAATGAATTTTTTCAGATAAATAGTCTAGTGGTACTGAGTTATAAACATTCAATATATGAATAACAGTTTACTTTATGATAGACCATTCTTTCAGTCAACATATACATGCTTCATGCAACATTGTTGTGGATTTTTTACCGCTTAAAAAAAGATTAATTTACGGATATATGCTTGCTTGATGTAGGATGATGATACGAACTACCATATGGACTTAATAGCTGGACTTGCAAACATGAGGGCAAGAAACTATGGAATCCCTGAAGTTGACAAGCTTAAGGCTAAATTCATTGCTGGGAGGATTATCCCAGCAATTGCAACTGCTACTGCGATGGCTACTGGTCTTGTCTGCTTGGAGCTGTATAAGGTTCTGGATGGAGGGCACAAGGTGGAAGACTACCGAAACACTTTTGCTAATTTGGCCCTCCCTCTGTTCTCAATGGCTGAACCAGTTCCACCTAAGGTGGTCAAGCATCAGGATCTGAGCTGGACAGTGTGGGACAGGTGGATAATAAAAGACAATCCAACATTAAGAGAGCTGCTTCAGTGGCTGCAAGACAAGGGCTTATGTGCTTACAGCATTTCTTTTGGCAGTTGCCTGCTCTTTAACAGCATGTTCCCAAAGCACAAAGATCGCATGGACAAGAAGTTGGTGGATCTGGTTAGGGACGTTGCCAAGGCTGAACTACCTCCATATCGACGACACTTTGATGTGGTAGTCGCGTGTGAGGATGAAGATGACAATGATATTGATATCCCTCAAATTTCAATCTACTTCAGTTAGGTATTTTGGCCTAGTTAAGCCGATGACATTTCTTTCATAGGATAAGTGACAGCAATGCCTTTACAGACTTTTTCATTATGGATTTCAGTTGATATAGGCAGATGAATGGGATTGTTTGTTATGTTGATTACATATTCTCGTATCAATCAGAAGCTGCTCTGTTCTCATTACCATTTAATGTTTGCCTTTCTTTTTTGTGGTAAGTTGGGGTTTATGCGCCGGATTTTTCGTGTTTTGATTCGTTTTGTGATGCATGATCCGTGAGCAATAACCATGATTGAGTGCTATCGGTTACCAGAACAAAGTAGAGCATAAATAAGAAATTAATAGAAGAATAACCACGTGAAAATTGGTTGTGCATGATTTCAATCTAGTCTTAGATCCGATTCTCCATTGGATGCCAATATAGTACCTTTGATATGATTTATCTGGAAGGTCGTGACAGTGGTTTGCTGACTTGCTGTGGGATAGTTTCTCTTGAGGATTAGTTGAGATGTACGAGATAGTTTCTCTTGAGGATTAATTGAGATGTGTGTAAGTTGGTTCGAATAGTTTCTGTTGGTTCGAATAGTTTCTTTTGAAGATTAGTTGAGATGTGTGTAAATTGGTTCAGACACTTCAGTTATTGTGCATTATGTTGAGTTTGTTGGTATTTCATTTTGAATTGAATCCTGTGCTGCAGTTATGGCTATAATTCGGTCTTTGCAAAATAATGAAACTTGGGTATTAAGTACACGTTTGAATTCATAATGTCTGGTATCATTTGTCAATTTAACCAATAATTTTCCTACAATAATAACATAATTAATCTATACAACAGAGAAAAATGATGTGGTGTTTCTGTTATACATATTTACTTCAGAATATTTTTTGGGTCATCTAATCTTTGAGCTTTTTAACTTCTCCAAGTAGAGACTCTCACCAATGGCGTTCCTCTCCACTCCAGAATCATCTCGTTCTCACTGTATCCTCCAATCCTCACCCCATAAGAATTTTCCCCCTTCACCATCTCTTTGGCTTCTATCAGCATTTCTTTGCTCACTTTACATTCCTCCAATCCAACTCCTCCCTGAAGTTGGTAGCCTTGTCTTTGTTCTTCCCACTTTTGGAACCAAACGTGGGAAGAGATGTAAGGTGCCACAAAGAGACACTCCATGGCCATTCTTGCTTCTGCAAGATGTGCAGGGAAGCTGGATTTAATTGATTCCAAAAGGGCTTGGTAATGTTCCAAATACCCCTCAAAAAATGACCCAAATCCTGAGCAATATGCCAGTCCCTCACAAGCATCTCCATCACCTAAAGTTATCATACCTCTGTTGGTAATGTTGCCATTATTTGACAACAAGTCCTGGGCTGTTTGCAGAAATTCCTTGACAGGCTTTCTGCTTCTTTCTCTCCCCATATGTGGAAGTCCAACCATGGAATTAAAAACCAACCATTCTTTGCTGTCACCTCTTTTCTTCTTTATCTCACTCACCAATTCCTCAATTCCCATCTCCTCGACCTTTAGATTTAAACCAAAACATCTTGCATAGTCACACAGTTGCCTTCTTGTCTCTGCAAAACTCCATGGCAAGGAAGCGCAAGTTAAGTCCTCATCCTCCCTCGTTATTGATGTCAATCTCAGTGTTTTACTCCTTTGTGCTATGGCCTCAATCAATGGAGGCCACTGAACCCCTTCTCCAATGTCAAAGTCCACTACGTGAATGATCTCTGCATCATCCGGCATGGCTTCAAGGATCGCGGCGTTTGCTGCAAAGTGAGCGAATCGACCATATGGAAAAAACTGGTAGAATGCCCTGAAGGCCGCCTCAAAGTTTTTTCTGGACTCTTGCATTAGATATTCCCCTTGCTTTTCAAGGTCAGGGGATAAATTGAATGCAAGGCGCTCCAAGGCTTCACCAGCTGGGCTAACTTTCTCACTTAAGCATTTGATAATTACTTCTCCAAGCTCTCTTTGCCCTATCTCCAGGGCTTCTCCATAAGCCTTGAGAAGATGAGAAACGCTCACTTGGTTATCTATTTCCATTTCTTCTGCAGGCAAAGTCAATGTTGTATCCACCGACGCCTCGCTGGATTTCACCGATGTGCTAGGACTCCATACATCTTCTCTTTCACAGGTCATTTGTGAAGGAAAACTTCCCTCACTTTCATCAAAACTTCCACATAAACCCTCAACTTCATCACTCAAAATACACTCAAACCCCTCCAACTCCAACGGAAAATCCTCCATCGGTAACATGACTTGTACCTCATCATCACAAACTACAGGGAATTGAATAAATTCACTGGAGAATACGGGTGAAAAATTGGGGATCGATGAAAACTCTGAGTACTCATCTATAGAGGTAAATGAAGAAGAGAATTCAAAACCACCAATATTTAAATAATCATCAATGTTGAGATCACAATCTTCAACTTGATGATCAAAAGGTGAACCTATGATGTTGTAGAATGGCCAAGTGGGCTGAACAAGTTCTGGTTGCATCATGGTTTGGTCTTTAATCTGATTGAATGTGCAAGAAGGAAACTCTTGGGGGAGTTTTGATGACAAAGTCTTGAAGAGTATTTATACTTGAAAATATAAATAAAAAAATAAAAAAGAAGAATACATATCACTTTCGCCTGCTTTTTCCAGAGTTTTGATCTGGCAAAGTTCCCTGGTGAGTCTTCTTCCTCATTCTTGGCAGGTTCCTGGAGACGGATGGGGTTGTTACATGTAATTTTCCTTTATAATAGTTTTTTTAATGGAGGGATTCGTTAGATAACTATTCATGTCAATTCATTGAAATTACCTTTCACTTAGTAATTAAGAAAAAAAGGCTGTAAAGGGATTGGTTCTTCATAATCCATGCACAGAAATTCCCAATAATTTGTGTCTATGTCAAGACATTGACACCTACAAATTTTAATCATATAAAAAATAATTAAAATAGTATTTACATGGACGACATTGTAGTTATCAGTATATATTTCTTCCTAGAAGGCACAAGCATACACAAATAAATAGAGAAGTTGCATGGAAACTTCATCAAGACTCCTATTATTTATAATTAAAGGTCAAATTGATAAACGGAGTTAGGTAGATTTCATACCAAAAAACTAGCTCAAGGAATGCTTAGTATGTAAGAAATCTAAATACGAATGCAGGAATAATTAGAATTTTAAATTACATTTTAAAATTGTTTCAGTTGAGAGCGGCCGGCAGCCTTTCATGATGAATTTATTAATCACAGAAAATTATTGTTGTATGGTCAATCCTTAGATTGCGGATTTACATTCATATCTTGTCCAAGCCGTAATTGTACGCAAAAAATGCACAAAAAGCAACATAAAAATAGTAGATATAAGATTTGCGTTGGACATTCAAACTATTTAAAATTTTTTTTATTGTATGTGTTTTTGATTCATTCATTGATCTCGCATCAAGTAATAGATTTCATACAAACTTTAAGTAGGTTTCATTATGAATTCTATGTACTTCTCGTTGGTATAAATTACAACATCAACAATATGTAACCAAGTATTAATCTGAAACCTACGTAATTAAGTTCTTAACTATATGCTGGATTAAATCTTTTATTTAACTCTAGGGGGGGTTGCATGGGATCCTGACAGAAGCTTTTAACTTAAAAAAAAAAAAAAATACGTGAATGAAATGCATGAAAATAGGCAATTAATTATTAGAGGAAGATGCTTTTACGTAAACTGAGCGGCTGATTCAGAAATAGCGACTTCATCATCATCCCTCTAAATTAATACAGAGATAGTTTGAGGTTAAACGTCTCTGCTAACCATTATTGTCAACTAGCGAAAGACATTTTCTGCCCATGTCATCTTTTTGTACTATTTTAATTAATTAATTACTTGTGACTTCAGACTGCAGAGCGTTTTCTTCCTGCTTTCTAGGTCACAAAATATGGGATCTTCTTCTTCTCTCAGACTGAGACATCATCTGTTGCAGAATATCAATTTAATTAATTCTTTCTATAATGCGTAACCATGGAAGAAGAGTAAATTAGATGTTATAGTAAAGAGATTGTTATTCTATTTAATTACTTCCAAGGATTACGGCTAATTTGGTAGTCTCATCTCAACCATTAATCACTAATATATAATACACCAGTTTACGAATAAAAACATTAATTTAATTCATTAATGTCTGATAGGGATGTGTATATATATGTGTAACGTGTCGCGGAGTGATTTTTTTAATGTTTAATTGACAGTATATTAACATATCAGGACTTCTTTCAAACTTTATCTTAAACAGATAATTAATGATGGGGGGTTCAATTGCTACCCTATCCAAATCCAATGACATATGTATAGCTCCATAATACCCTCAAAATTTGTCGAGTTTCAGGAGAGATTCTTAAGTAGAGAATGATTAGATTTATGTTTATAAATATTAATTAATAGATTTCACTAACAGATCTTAACGGTGGATGAGAAACTACCTAATAGATCTTAACAGTTGATAGGTAATTGTTGTTTTGAAACTTTTCGGGTGGGAATCTATAGTTAGGGCTTAGTTTGGGTGGTAACATGTCGTTCACCCATCATTTTATAATACAAATCAGTTCAATTCATATATATATATATAATTTCTGCATGGCCTTAACCTGCCCATATGACTCATGAAATGAACCATGCAGTTAATTTTGATCATTTTATATTATTTTGTGCCGGGTTTAGATTTTTATGGGAGATCCTTATTCCTGCATGGTTTCTCTGAAAATTGAAGAAAAAACCATCAGGTCAGTCAATAAATCAAACAAAATTCAGATACCCTCTGATCAATTATCATAGTTATATTACAAAGTACAAACGTCTTGGTCAAGGGACCCCAATAGCTTTGGTAAAAGACTAGAAATATCTCCATTTCTGGATACTTTAGGAGACAATTGATAAAAAAAAATTATGAAATATTGTGTTTAGTTGCGTTAAGTTTTCAACTTCATGGTCATTAACTTTTCCTTTGTATTGTGGAATATATACTACTTCTACTTAAAATAATGCACAATTGAACTCTTGAAGGTGAAGATCGTTATCAGAGATGACTCTAATCAAGACTGAAACCCCGATCAAATGGTTATTATAAGGATAATTAGGAATCTTAATTTGTCTTTAATTGATTATGGATTATGGATGTGCTCATTTTTACAGTTTGTTCCAACCGGGTTGGTAAGTCTTGAGATAAAACATCCAAAGTATGAATCAATTACGTGTCAACGTGGAGGTCATGCATGGTTTAACGTTGCATGATTTTGTGACAATCTAGGGCAATATTCGCATCCAAAAGATAACTTGAGATGGGAATTGGGCATGAAAATCAATCACTTTTTCACAGAAAGTGCCAAGAAGAATGTGAGTCAATGGGGATTCATAAAAAAATATGATATTATCTTTTACTTTTATTTTGTATTTGTTCATCTCCATTGATATATAATAATCTTTATCCGCTGTCTGCTGATTGAGAACTCCACATTGGTTTTGAAGCCATTAATTAGCCCTTTGAATAATGATTCAATCTCATCCTATTGAAGATTTATCTCTTGATGATAAATTTGTCAATAATGGGGTAGGCATGGATGATGATCTTATGATTCTGAATTTCTTTGAGTCCTCCACATTCTCACCTCCTTTTACCACAACTCATGATCACGACTCCCTTGAAACTTCTAGCACAAATTTCGCACCTTCTGCCATGTCCAATGAGTTTATTGACTTTGATAATTTTCCGTTTCATGTTAACGAATCTTCCTCAGTACTTGGTTTGGAGGATTTGGACCCCAATTTTAACATTGAATTAGACGAGATGAGAGATTGGTTAGAGAATGGTGATCATCGAGAAAGTGATGATTCTTATTATCATCAACTCTCTATTTATCAAGAGGTTACTGACACATCTATGGACGTGACTTCAATAATTCAGCCAATCCTGAACTTGCCTACACAAGACATGGAGATTAACAATGAACTCTGCACAAGCCATCTAGCAAAGGCCTATGGTGAAGCCATGGCGAATGAACAACGAGAGCTCGCGGAGGTGATCGTGAGACGCATCAATGAGAAAGTCAGTCCTGTCGGTGAGATTACGGAGCGCCTTTTGTATCATTCTTTTCGGCCCTTGAACAACGAAGCTAATGACAACTATCTTAAACAAGAGTCCTGCAAGGTTTTTGATGCAGCTTTCGAGGCATTCTATAGAGTGTTCCCGAATGGAATGTTCGCTCATTTCACTGCGAACTCGGCGATTCTTGAGGCCATTCCTCATGATGCCGGGGTTCTGCACATTGTTGATTTTGACATGGGAGAGGGCATTCAATGGGCTTCAATGATTGTGGCTCTTGCTCAACAACAGAAGCTGCTACAACAATTCGGTATTATCTCACAACAAATAACCTTAAAACTTACATCAATAAAGTGGAAAAATGGAGATTGTATTTGTGGTCAAGCTCATCCCCATTTGAGATTTGAGGAGACAAAGAAGCAGTTGATTTGTTATGCAAATTGTCATGACTTAAAGTTGAAAGTTGAAGAAATGGAACTACAAGATTTGGTAAGTGAGATAAAGAAAACTACAAGAAGAGGAAGAAGGAGAGAATGGCTAGCCTTCAATTGCATGTGGGCTCTTCCCCACATGAGGAGGAGAAGAAGAAGAAGGCATGTTATGGAGTTTCTAAAGGTGGCTAAGGATTTTTTGCCCAACTCTGACAGTAATAAAACTACTAATGATAAAAACAATGGAATGATTACTTTTGGTGATGGAGATACTTGGGAGAAAATAGAAGATTACTCTTGTTTTGGGTCATTCTTTGATAGTTATCAGGAACATTACGGAGCATTGTTAGAATCAATGGAATGGAACTTCCATAAACGTCTTGTAGAAGCAAGAATAGCCATGGAGTGTCTCTTTGTGGCACCATTTGCCTCTTGTGTTGCTTTGTTAGAAAAGTGGAAGGAAGTAAAAGAGGTCTGCGAATTTGAGGCGGGATTTGGGTTGAAAGGGGTGAGATTAAGCAGTGAGAGCTTAATGGAAGCTAAAGTAATGGCGAGAGAAGGTGAAAGTTTGTACACAGTGAGGATTGAAGGTGAAAATGCAAATGAGATGGTGTTGGAATGGGGAAGAACCCCATTAGTAAGAGTTTCTGCATGGAGATAGATCATAGATTGATGTGTTATATTCTCAGTATTGTACAATTTTAATTATACTGTAATAACCAATTGAAATGGACAACTATGAATATTTTCAATTGCATCATTTATTGGATTTACATTCTATTTAATAAAAAACAAAGGAATTTATTGTTTTTAACCTACATATGTTCCGTATGTTATAACAACAAAGCTACAGACACCGATTATTTTGCACCAAAAATGTGTATCGGCCTATGTGTACCCCTGACTCACACCAACAGTCTAGATGCCTGATTTTTCTATAAATATTTTTCTAGTGAACGGCTGTCCATCAAATATGGACGGCTGTTCACTCACATGTACTCCCGTCCATATACGACGGACGGGCGTCCATAAGTAAAATACAATAAATTTTTTTATAAACATTAGGGACGACTGTCCATTACTTTTGGAGGGGCGCCCACAAATAATGGACGCTCGTCCTTGACCCAAATATGAAAATAAAAAAAAAACTTTGGGGACATTGTGGACGGCTGTCCCTTACTTTTGGACCGGCGTTCGTAAGAAATGGACACCCGTCCATTATTTTGGTTTTACAAATCAAAAAAGAAAATCTTTGGACGGCCATCCAAAACTTATGGACGGCCCTCCTTTCACTGTGGACGGGCATCTGTAAGTAATGGACGCCCGTCCATTCTTTTGTTGTTTCAAATTAAAATAAAAACTATGGACGGCCGTCCACAAATTGTGGACGATCGTCCTTTAATTGTGGACGGGCATTCATAAGTAATGGACTCCTGTCCATTCTTTTGCTTTTAAAAAATAAAATTAAAAAACTGGACGGCCGTCCATAAATGGTGGACGGCCGTCCCTTTATTACTTATGGACGCCCGTCCATTCTTTATGGACGACCGTCCCTTATGTAAAGGACGGCCGTCCAACCCTTATGGACGGCCGTCCACACAAAATGGACGGGCGTCCATTACTTATGGACGCCTGTCCTTTACTATAATTAAAATTAAATAAAAAAAAACTCACGTATTAGGTTAAAAATTTTGGGGAAGTTTCAAAAATTAAAACACATAGCCAGCCATTACCATCTTCTTCATCTTCCATCTGTGTTACTATGTGTTCTTCGTCTTCGCGCTCTTATTCTTCTGGATTCCTGTTCTGCGTTTGTTCTTCGTCTTCCTCATCTGCCATCGGTAATTAAACACTTTCCTTTTTCAATTTTTTTTTTTTTTTTTGGTTGGATGAATGTGTTGAATAGAGTTGAGTTGATGAAATGAAATCCAGTCAATTTGGTAGGACTGGTTTGTGTGATTGATAAATAGAAGTGTTCTGCCATTGATAAAGAGAAATGTAGTTTATTTTAAATGCTGTGAATTTAAGAACTACCATGAAAGGAAAATTGATTTTAGGCATATTTTAGGTGTAGCAACAGGTAATTTGATTGATATCAAGAATCACAGTCTTAAAACCTTGTGCCTGATGATGGTATTATCACCAAGGTCCAGCAATTCCAATAATGGTAGAGCGAATAACCAATTAGCTAATGACACTTCCAAATTTAAAAAATCAAGTTGTTTCTTGCAATTAATGAATATCTGCATAACATTGGAGGTACCCCAATGGCAAAAATTGCTCAATGGCATTGGGCTCCAAATTCTTTCTTAGTTACTATGACTTGCCTTGTTACCAAAAACCTTTTCTCTTGTACCTTACCTTATATCAAAAGAACTAGTAATACTCCATCAATTGTGTCAGATTATTACCTGAAATTCAATCCATTAGGAATAAATCTGAAATCAGTTGAGGCCTAACTAGCAATAAAAATTAGGTCCAATAAATCAAGGATCTTAGCAGTTCACTTAATAATTATGTGGACGGCTAAAGATCCTTTGATGAACTAAAAGCAGAGTAAAATTTGATAATAATATTTGTAGAAATTCAGTATTGAGATGAAGAATCAAGAAAATTAAAAAGACCAAGAAAAACGAAAAACAGAGCTGAGAAGAAAGATGAATATTCTGGAATTCATTGATTTTTATTAACTGAGTCTTTAACAGAAAACAACATATTTATAGTTTGTTACACTGTATAAAACGACACTGTATTACATTTTGCTTAATTGAAATTCAAGCCATCTGACTTCTAATCTTTGCAAAATAACCCAGCATACTTTCTTCTTAATATTCGCCCGTAAACAGAACACTCCTACTATTCTATATCATTCTTCCTTCGCAATATTTCCCCGTAAACAACACTATCTTCCTCTCTAAACTTTTCTTCACTTTTACCATGCTTTAACATTCTACCTACTCAACATTTCCCCGTAAACAACACTATCTTCCTCTAAAAACACAACTTTCTACAACTTCAGTTTGCATCTGAAAACACAACTTTCTGCAACTTCAATTTGCACTCTGAAAACACAACTTTCTGCAACATATTGAGTTCAATTTGCATAAGACTTAATTAGTCTTTGATTGTAGCAACTAACGCTGGCAAAGAAGACAAAACAGTAAGCTTTTCTTTAAGAACTTGAAACCTGTGAGCAGGAAGTGCCTTTGTTAACACATCTGCAGTTTGAAACTCAGAGGAAACATATTGAACAGCAAGTTTCTTATCAATAACCAGTTCTCTCACATAATGGACATCAATCTCAATATGTTTTATCCTAGCATGGAAAACAGGGTTAGAAGATAGTGCTCCTGCACTCATATTATCACACCACAAAATTGGAATACTCTTGATTGGGATGCCAAGTTCTTGAAACAGATTTTGGATCCAAACAAGTTCAGTGGCTGCTTGACTAAGAGCCCGATATTCAGCCTTTGTTGAAGAGAGAGACACCACTTTCTGTTTTCTAGACACCCATTGTACTAAGTTGCCACCAAGAAATATGCTATACCCTGTTGTGGATCACCTATCACCAACATCACCTACCCAGTCAGCATCAACATAGCCTTCCAGGGCAAAATTCTGATGTTTTTGGAAGAGTAAACCGTGTTGTAGGGTGCCTTTAATGTATCGAAGTACTCGCTTGCACGCAGTCCAGTGATTTGTAGTAGGAGACTGTAAAAATTGACTCAATCTGTTCATTGCAAAAGACAGATCAAGTCTAGACAAAGTCAAGTATTGAACCCTCCCACAAGACTCTGATAAAGAGAGGGCTGATCAAAAGCTTCACTATCTTCTTTCATCCGTTTTGTACCAGTGGCCATAGGTGTATTGCAGGGCTTACATTCTGCCATTCCAGCTTTGTTCGATAGATCAAGAGCATATTTTGATTGAGAAAGCAGCAAATCTGACTTGTCTCTTTGCACTTCAAAGCCAAGAAAATAGTTAACAGACCCTAAAGTCTTCAAAGCAAACTTGTTATTTAAATCTGTAACTATTTGAGTAATCAATGCAGAATCATTCCCAGTAATGAGAATATTGTCCACATACACTAGTAAATACACTATGTGAGACTCCTTTTTAAAGAAAAATAGGTTGGTGTCAGAAACTGAACCAAGAAAACCTCAATCAGTAAGAGCTGCCTTTAACTTGTCAAACCAGGCTCTTGGCGCCTGTTTTAGGCCATAGAGGGCCTTGTTGAGTTTACAAACATGTTTGGGGTGTTGAAGATCAGTAAAACCTTCAGGTTGAAACATGAACATAGTCTCTGTGAGATCTCCATTCAGAAATGCATTATTAATGTCAATTTGTTGGATATCCCAACCATTATGAATAGCAAGTGAGAATATGATCCTTATAGTGGCAGGTTTAATAACTGGGAAAAATGTATTGAAATAATCCAAACCTAGGGTTTGTTGAAAGCCTTTAGCCACTAATCGTGCCTTGTATTTTTGAAGAGTCCCATCAGATTTCAGCTTGGTTTTAAATACCCATTTACATCCTATAACATGCATATTGGAAGAGAAAGGAACTAATTCCCAGGTTTGGTTTCGCACCAGAGCTGAAAACTCATCATTCATTGCTACCTTCCATTCTGGAATTCGCAGAGCTTCTGAGACAGTTTTTGGTTTAGCTAGAACACACAGAGTAGAGAGATATGCACATCCAGAACAACCCTGAGATTGTGACTTAGCAGGCTTTGAAAAGGTTTGGGTTTTTGATCTAGTAAGCATTGGATGTGCATTATATTGCTGATTGAAAGAAGGTTCCAGTTGATCAATGAAAACAGATGGTTCTTTTGATGGAGAGATAGTAGCAAAATCCAAGATTACTGACCCTGGAGTAATCTAAGCTGCATCAGTAGCTTCATATACATTTGTTTGAATTGCATCAGTAGATGTATCATCAGATAAGCTGAAAAATAGTGATGAATTACCATAAACATCTGCTGTAGAACTAACAGGAGAAATAGGCTGAACCGCATCAGTAGCATGAACATCTGCTGTAGAATTAAAAAGAGGAATAGACTGAACTGCATCAGTAGTATGAATAGTCTGAACTGCATCAATAGCATGAACATCTGCTGTAGAATTAAAAAGAGGAGTAGGCTGAACTGTATCAGTAGTATGAACATCTTCTGTAGAACTAAAAGGAGGAGCAGTTTGGACTGCAGCAGTAGTGTCAGACGATGCTGCCATAGTAACAGAAGAAACATTGCTTTTGTTCAAGCAATGACCAAGATTCCATGAGGACAAAAAAACTATCTGTATTAGTCTGAGAATTGAACCCTCCTGTAGTTTCATCTTTAATGAGATAACATTTGAAACCAAGCTTAAATGGAAAAACAGTCTCATCAAACTTTGCTTGTTTCACTATGTAAACCTTTCCTGTGGATGAAAGACACTTATACCCTTTATGTGCAAGACTATAACCTTTAAAGACACACTTTTCAGTGTGATAGGAGAATTTCTGCTTCTGATATGGTCTGATGTAAGGGTAACATGAACAACCAAATACCTTTAGCTCACCGTACTTTGGTTCTTGCTGAAATAATTGTTGGTAAGGAGAGAGATCCTGAAGAACAGATGAAGGAAGTTTGTTAACAATATATACGGCTATACA